ACCTGAATGATAGAAACTTTCCCACATTGAAGATTATATTATCAGTGTAATAACATTTCTGCTTGACAACCTATATTTCGGGTTTTTGAGGATATATTTTAAACAAGGTATCATCATATCCAGCATAACCTAATGAGACTACATAATCAGCTACCTTTGCTACATACATCGCGCTTTGAATTTGTCTTCAAAGCCAATATTGTACCAGACTATACGACAAATGATGTTATTTCGACCATCATCAATTGCTTACACCTTTACAGCAATATCCAAGTCTCCGTCCTACTTATACGGTATAAATTTCCCAACTCACTCTGTATGCCTGGGTTTGTAGTACATGCAACTAAATTAACATTTAAAAGGGAGATATAATAATATTGTACGTGGTTGTCTTCATGTTGCTCATAAAATGTGTGCGGATTACAAGGCACTGCCAACAACAACAACATGGGACTTACTTGTATGTATTCATTTCCTTTGTAGGGAGCCATATCCCGGACAGCTGGCCCCCAACCAAGCCCACTGTTGATGGCAGACTCCGAAGGTAAGTGGGAGACAGAGAATGAACTGGCAGTAAACTGACATGGATCGAATATAGATGTATCAATGGCTTCAATACACTCTACAAAAAATGAACAGTATTAATTATATACTAATATAGATAACTTAAAATGAAATAATTATTCATGTAAGACGTTATACAATAGTGTCACTAAAACTTTGTCAATGAATGTATTAAATATCCCCAAAATCTGCTAGCAAAGTAAATATTACCCATCTGTATTCTGAATCGTAATCTATATTATAAAGTAAACATGCTTAAACTACAGCATAACCTACCAGCTACGATAAAACTGATATCGAGCACTTCGATGTGGGAATGGTAATTATCTCCCAATACGACAGTACCACTTTCGTTTATGTTATCCCGTTGGTAATAAATCACGTCCGCGGGTATGGTGGCCTTGATGAGATCAGAACCAATCTCTATTGTACGCAATGGATCGATAGTCAGATTGAATCGGAAGCATATGATATCCGTGAAGAACATTTGTTCAATCTATAAAAATAACATGGATTGTATGAAATATTAATGTATTGTTATTTTCCACAATCAAATTTTTGAAACTTTTTGTTTGCATAAACATATTTTCGTGTCTTGATTTTTCGGCTTCCACACTTCAAAAACTATTTCCAGTATCGTCCGGACTTTGAAGTTTAATTTGAAAAACGAAAAGATGGTGACAAATGTATGACGAGTTTTCATAGCGTCAATTCTGTACAAAATTACGTAAAAGTCCTGAAAGCTATGAATGATCATCCAACGATTGTATCAAGCGTAGGTTTGCAGATTGAGTACGATGTATTTGATATCATCAAAATAAGAATACCAGTAATTAGCAATTGCTATTCCGTTACATATATACCGTTGAGTTTAACTTGAATAGTATTTTTATAAGACAATCAAACGCTTACGTGGAATTGAACACCATACGTTCCCGTGGTTATGATTGGTGAATGTCCTTCTAGTACCAATATATCGTCAAATGTTAAAAAATTAGGAATCATTAAATTCACCCGGACACTATGCGCATGCGCTGATGAGATAGATGAGTGCATCAAGTGTACTGTACCGTCAATTGTATCCCTGCGCGAAAGAGTACGAATAAAGAGAGTAGTATAAATAATGTTAGTGATGACAACATACAGGAAAAAAATAATTTGTTTACTTTTTATTTATTAGAAATCAGAAATATATATATATATAACATGATCTGTTGTAGGTTATTCTATAAAGCGACAAAAATCAAACCAAGCTGAAATATCAAGTACAAGTACTTACCCTTGTTGTAATTCCTCCGGTTCAGTTGAATCCAGCGTGATGTTGAATGTTAGATCTGGGCGTTCGTCGCCAAACACGACGACCTGAATATCACGATGAAGGGTCACGTATCGTCCGAGACTGTAACTGAATGTCACTTCAATCGGAACAATAGATTGGTTGACATTGTCGATGTGATCTGTCAGTTGTACGGTTAATTCAACGTGAAGCTCGTCATCCTCTTGGTTGTATTCTTTGAATTGGTAATAATGGGAAATGCCTGACAAAAATAAATGTATTGATGTGGAAAAGGTCGTAAAACACCACGATTTGTTTTCAACTAGCTAACATTATCGTTACTTGTATTTCTAATCTGATACACTTATGCCCAATACATTTCATTAATAATATGTCTTGATAAAAATAAAGACGAGACTATATGGATGATATTGTATGCACATGTTTTCAAAACAAATATCACTCGCTAAAACGAATGATGTTACAGATCACAGATTTTATGAATGAAAATAAAAATGATGTAAAATGTATACAACTGTCACATGTGGTACAAAATGTGCTTAACACTTACCGTGATTGAAAATTACACCAAAATCATAGCTTGCTGTAGTGTTCTGAGTTGTACCAGTGTCTGACGTATAGACAGGCTCCCATTCCCAAAACTGACTGCAAGCGAAATTTTTACCGATGTGAACTAGTGATGTACGTGTGATTGTCAATCGAGCCTCATCATTGACGTATGGCAGACTGATGTTCATAACCATGCCAGTCGACATTGGTGGCATACTGATGTTCACCAGGAATGTTTCTTCTGAACCTACAGACATGGTGATGTTGCCATCGTATGGTGGTGTCAGCGTAAAGAGAGGTTCTGCACTGGTCTAAACAGAAGAATCAACATTTAGACTGTGGTGCTGTTGGTTTAATTAGTATATAATTATAATTGCATCGATTAAATGGTATGAACGTTGATGACTTGCCTCATCTGCTATAAGATGTTGGGATACAGTGAACGGTGTTTGTAACAACCATGTGTTAGTGTCACTGTTTAGAGATACACTAGCTCCAACCGATAGTTCTTTGTCGTCTGTGGTTGTATCATTCACATCATGAAGTTCCAAGTCTATTGTTATCTGAACTACCACTTGAACTCTCAGCTTGACGATGAAAGCACATAATTGACAGAAAAATATGAATTCGGATTATATGTAGAAATAATCAAATAAATCAAATCCATGACAGATACAAATACTTTAACCGAATTATACCGGAATCTAAGATGCAATATTCTTACGGTCGATTTGGAAGAAAAATTATGGGCTGTTTCTTCAGGGTGTGTTATCATGGTAAATAGTAGAGCTAATGTGTGGGTTGACTATGGAATGGCTTCGAGATATATAAACTAACAAACAAATTACACATCTTTTACATAAACAAGAAATATACCTTATTATCGTCGTCCAATAGTGAGCCACCTACTGCAACATTTGTAATTGAAAACGGTTCAATACCAGCAACGTCGAAATGACCATCGTCGAAGGAGGAGACAAAACGAGTTTGTACATGACTTCCATTCACGCAGGGCAAGTTCCAACCTGCTGACACCACCTGGACATCACATATCTGCGTACTATGAGGGTCGTCAACGTCACCATGAAACTCAATTGTATATTCACCAGTTGTACCAGGTGGTACGTAAATGTCGACGTAGAACACAGCGGCGCCTCCCGCAGTGACTCTGGATTCCTCTGTCAACTTTGCTAATATGAGGTCCGGGAGCACATCCTACAAATACAGATACGAATATATCATATCCACTCTACGAATAGCCTTACCTAAACTCGAATGGTCAAAAAATAAGTAAACTAGACGACGTGTGACTAATATCGTTGGAAAAATAAATGCGTTTATCACAAGGTTCATATAACACATGCCGCCTAATTTATAATGCCTTCATGCACATGAAGTCTGGAACGCAACATAGAAATATATTAGTGTCTTACAAAGTTATGTGATACTGGGTCTACATCGACTGTAATATAATCTTCAGACGTCCAATAACTCTGGCTACTAGTTGACACCCCAACCGAGAAGTGTTGATCTGCGGGTAGCAGAGCGTCATCAGAAGGAATGGCAGCTTGACGCAACTGAACAATAACCTGGGTTAGTATGATGCTATCACTGGCATTAGAGGCTACTGTGCTACCTAATAAATACACAAAAACGTCATATTGCCAATGCATTTGGTATATGGATATCGGGGTACAGAGGCTTCACATTGAAACATACCATGACTCTAACTTGTCTACACTCCATAATGTTACACTACACACTCATAATGATACATAAACTTTTAGAATCGCTCTCATCAGCCAGATAAGTTGATATACTCTTTAGATGAGATAGGTGATTACTAGACCATTAACCTGGTCACATAAAGTTATATATTACCTGTATTTCGAATTGGTCCAAGATCAAATACAGCTTCGTCAATCTGTGAAGGGTCGCTCTCATCAGCTAGGTAGATGGCACGTTTAGTGATATCTAAACAAGGAAGGTTCTTTCCAGCCTCCACCAGACGAGCTTGACAAACAGACAACGTATTATTTGGTACCATGACGTCTAGTTCGTAACTGGAAACTGACTGTTCAGGTGTACCAATTGCAACATAATAGAGAGCCGCCTCGCCTACCTTCAATGATCGAGTGCGACCAGGTTCTCGGTAAAAATCGTACTGAGGTTTGGACTCGACCTAAGGGGAGTTGAGTAATGGTTAATCAAAACGGTGTGTTATTCGGAAGTTAGAAGAAAACAATTTTTAAACATAAACTAATGGAAATATCCAATTAGTTCCTGATGGCAATGTTGTTGGAAAACATCTAAAAATTGTAAAATAATGTAATTTGTCTAATAACGAGAAAAACTTCATTGAAAGACGTTGATGTATATCTAGTTTCACCAGTGTTATGTTTTATTTTGTTACTGTACCATAGTCTCTAATTAGAAGCTACATTTATACTTACTGAATCGAAATCGGGTAAGCTAAAATTCGCTATAAGAGAGACTTGATTGGACCAGAATGCATTCCCATTTATATCCACACTGAACTCAATCCATAGTGGCATACCATCTTCTATTTTAACGTGTTCTTCCATAACTACATGGACCTCGAATCTAACTATGTTATCCCCTGTGGTTGTATCACCATCGTACTCTGGGTTGCTAAAGGTTTCTATGGAAACGGTAACCAGGTCGATGATATCATCATTTTCTGACGACGCGTACATGATGGAGAAGTCATTAAGCTCAGAGCACGCAAAATTATCTCCAAGAAATACCCTATCAACCCGGCATATGCCCATCACGGCCTTCCCAGACAGTACAGTGGTCGATATTTTTGCATGTATATTTTTGAAAGTCGTTCCAGGTGGAATGAACATTTCGAAGTCAAATGAGGCAGCCGAGTTCATGTAGATGTAGTCGTCATTGGCGCGATTCCTGACTTCGAACGACGGCATCTGTAATTTAGAGACGCAATTATTAAAATGTAATGCGCAAAACTAAGCAGGTTTTATAAAGCCTCGTTTAGGAAATTCAATGTGTGTTGTGAGAGCGGTCAGTGGTTAATGTGCATAAAATTTCTATTTTAAAACTGTTTTTAATGTTTCTTGAACAAGACCACTATTTTAGGGTTTTCGTTATGTTTCTAGTTCCAGTATAATGCATAAGATTGTGTTTCCCCCCCAAAGTCTTCTATTCTTACATGGATGTATCCAATTGTGGTTTATTTTGATTTTTGACCAAAGCTAGCACTATATGTCGCCTATGGAAATTAGTGGTCTGTGGCTTCTTGCAATACTTCTTTGTAAGTTCAAATAAGGTATTGTATACGGCGTTACCCGTCCATGGTTCGTCGCCATTGGTTACGGCTTGAAATATATATATAACAATATAATAATAGCACGATTCATGTTTCCAAGTGTAATGTATCAAGGTACCTTGTCAGGAGAATAAACATGCGCCTGATCTGTCACAAGTACCGGAATCTGTGCCACCCAAAGAACGTCATTATCAGCCATTTCATAACGGACCCCGGATGTGACTAGGAACGTACTGTTCAATGTTACATCCGGGTGCTCGTCCATCAGTTGAGCGGTCACGTGGATCATTATAGTGTTGTCGTCATCAGTGTGACGTTGTCCGGTATTAGTGATGTGACCAAAGTTGAACTGGACGTAGTCAGTATGAATCCCATCCTATAATAAATGTACACCAGTATATACTAGTATGAAACATTGTTACTCAATTATAGTTCGTTCTAATCGAAAGGATTGTGTACAATATAAAAAAAAACAATATTTGAACCAACAAACACTACCTCACGAATGTAAAGCTGTCCCATGATTCGAACATCATTTACAAGCATAATTTAATTGAAATATATGTGTGAAATAGGACAAACATGTATAATTTAATTTATATGTAAAAAGCTATATATCATGCAAAGATACATAGATACACGTTTGAAAGTTTAATGTTTTAATGTCGACCATTCAGAAATGATATTGCATCAACCCGGAAGGGACATCCTGTGAGCTGTAAGTGTGTCTTATTTACAATTAGAGATAACGTAAAAACGCAATACTACCTCGCGATAGTAATCCAGTATAGCCTCGCCAACGCACGGCATATTGAAACCAACGTGGACAACTTTAGCACTGCATATAGAGAAGACAGCGGCGTTCTTATTATACGGCATAGACATGTCTACTACCAATGCTGTTGTTATCCTTTCTTCCAGTGTTATATTTATGACGAATCCTACTGACCCACCAATCAGTACATCATTGTAATCTATGGCGTAGAACACAATAACAGGGTCTTCCGTCTGTTGTAAACAAGAAGGGGGTTCACATTATCATTAATATCATATTATTTGTCTGCATGATCTACATAATGTAATTGATCGATTTATATGACGTCATTCGTTTACCATTCCCGGAGGCGCCAAAGGTTTGGCCGTGACTGCCAACTGCGATGAGTATATTTCTGCGTCATCGACGAGTAAAGAAATTCCCAACCAATATTTTTCTTCTTCTATGATTTCTGTGTTATTCGTTAATAATACAACGAATTCACCTGTGATGACATTGTCTTCTGATGTCGTGCCATCGATACGAGACCCTGGTGACAGAAATAATACAAACTACATTTAAATAATCCCTTCCCATTGCATCTGCCATATAAAGAGTTTCACTACCAACTAAAGTAGAAAAACGGCACAATACAGAAAAGTACTATTTTTGGTGTTAAAAATGTAGTCAATTCTTGTCGTGTCTGTTACATAAACAGTTGCGATATTGGGTACTGTTGTATACACCATGACGACAACACAGTCTCTATATCTTAGACTATGTGGTTAAAAATTCGGAAAAATTAAATCAAGGCAATTCCCGAGGGGATGAATGTTTAACTCTGTAAATGAAATTAGTGAATATTTTTTAAACTGGTGTTCAGTAGTAAAACACGTCAGTAAAGATGTGATTTATTATGTTTGTACCTGTGTTTACTATGCGTCCAAAATCTAAGGTTGCCATGGCGTTTGTGTCGGCACCATCTTCCTTCGAGAGCATAAGTTGCGGCAACTCGTCCGGTAAACAAGTAAAACTGGATCCTATGTAATAGCAGGAATAATATTCATTGACTAAAAATGGAGACGCATTTTCTTTGTGGTAATTGTCAAAGATATACATGTATATATTTAAATTATTGCCCATTGCAATATTACTGATATTATAAATTTATCACTGTCGATACGACAGGTACACCAAACGAAAGTTCAGAAATATTTGTTGACGCTCACCTTTGTCTCGAACAAAAACTGTACAGACAGAAAAAGCCGACGTTACATCGAATGGCGTCACCACTTTAATTTGAATATCATTCGATGGGTCCATTAATTCCAAGCTGAAGTTAAACACCCCTGAGGAGAGCATGTTTATCTCTGTAGCGCCATCTACGGTCAAGACGGGATCTTGGCTTAGCTGTTCAGACAAAAGTAACGATTATTTAAAATATGACGTCATAAATCAGATTTGAATAAATCAAATTGTTCTCACGATGCAAATTATTTTATAAAGAATGCGTATAGTGCGACGAATGAATATAGTCAAGATATAACCACAATAAACATCTCCCTGTCTAAATATCACTAAAAATGGAATCCAATGTTTCAATAATATGTTTTATAGTTTTATTTTAATAATATTGATTAATATCATCACTACACAGAGACGAAGTATGACTAATGATATTATATTAGCCCGGAAACAATTAAAACATTTTATGTTATTGATGTACCAAAACATTGTCTATTCTTACCCAGTTTTCTGCTACAAACGTGAACTGTGTGTTGCCGTTCCACACTTGGTCGTTGTATTCTACCGTGGCATACACTTTAACAATATCTCCGTCAACCACGTCCACGACATCCTGCATAATGACTGAAAACCCTATTCGTATTTCACTGGCCTCTTGGTTTATAAGATCAAGTGCCTGGTTTTCAATTTCTCCGATGTTCAATTCTAAACGATTGTACTGTAAACAAAGAACACGTTTTCAAGTGAGCCATGTACTAACATGAATACTGTAGTGAAATGTATTACTGTATTGAACATTTCTAAAATCGAATATGTATGAGACCTTTATGCATGCCATGGCGTTTTTCACATGACATGAAGCACACGTTCTCCTAACTCAGGAATCATTTAGTGCTTGGATGCCATTACGAGATGACCCACAGCATGAACATAATCGACGCCTTGTATTTCACCGAATGTGACGAATAATGTACATATGTTTGATATAGTCCAATGTGTATCACCATATATGGTTCGAGAGACTTTATATATTAAATATTAATTACTGGAAGTTTCTTGTGTCCAGCTTTATATAATACACAGAACATACAAATGGATATCACTGAACGTCTTAGTAAACCTCATAAATCCAACATATTATAATTTAATTTAATTAAATTTAAATTATAACAAACTTGTTATGTGTTAATGTAAATATATATAGCACCAAATCAAAATTAACAAACATGAATTATACTCAATCTGTGGGCTCGGGTATTTTACGCAGGTGATCAATTTAATTAATATCCAAAATAACGATGGGAATCCCATAAACAATATATGCTAGATTTTGCCTTAACGGGACAATTTCTATCAACAATTTACTTGCATTCGAACGATAATTACGGCCAACATATACCAAAATATACTTGTCAACTTTTACGATTGGCGGATTTTACGATCTCTCTGTTTGTTTCGAATACACATTATTGTGTAGCTCTTGGCCTGCATACAATCAACCTTTTGATTATGTCAGAACCCAGTCTTAACCTTACCCTATAGTCCCCAGCATCTGCCTGAAGGTGGTAGCTTATTAAATCATCATCAATTCCTGCAATATTAGAACCAGTATGCGAGATATTTGGGGAGCACAGCGTCATATAGGCCGTTGTTGACACGTCAGTGGTGATTACAATGCTGATATTCATCGTGGTAGCTGGCATCCATATTGTAAGACCCATTTCAACGTTGGAACCCACTTTAACTTCAGACGTACCGGCGAAATCTCCGTATTTCTCCAGTGTGAATGTAGCTTCTTCTGGGAGGCCCACACTCTGTAAGTGATTTTTATTACGAGGTTATTACGAGTACAAGACAGTACAGCGGCAGTATCGACCGACGCGCAGCGGACGGCAGTGTACTGTCTGGGTGCATACTTTCCTTCCAAGGATATATCATGGGAATGCCGAAATCCAAAAAGTTTAAAACAGAATCAGAGAACTTCTTTGTTTGGAGACCGGTCAAACTCTGGTGGCAGCCATGTTTGTTTTTATTATAAGAGGACGTTTGCGCGCGTAATCATTCCATATTTGGAATTCGCATTTCCTAATATGGTAGGATGAAAATACCCCGTAAACCACCGCATAACGACGGCACGCTGTAACTTATGGCGTTACGGTTACATATATATAATAATTGTTATTATTCCAATTATTAAGTTTCATTGAATAATTATTATCATGTTTGCGACTAATGAACGTAAACTAAATATTACGACACATCCGCCTGCAAAATGGGTAGTATATTCTAATATCGTTATGTGGGAATGTGCTTTTTATGCACGACCATAAAAACTTTGTGTGTTATGACTAATTAATATTCAATATTTCTCCACATATGTATGAATCGTTTAATAACAATCCTGCCAATAACAATCACTTTTTTTAAAGACCCCTGTCAAAGATACTTCGTTAGAGATGTGAATGTGTCTGGGTTTCAAATTACAATTCATTCTCACAGAACAATAAACATTAAAGTCTTTAACTCGTAGCTCGTAGTGTATTACTGAACTCGAAGTCGCGGCAATCGCGGGTTTAGTCTTTTTGACAAGATCCGGCAAATTATTCTGTCACGTGACACGTATGTATTCACATCCAGCCTTTCAAAAATTATATGGTAAATAATATTTGGTATGAGATAATATAGAGAGAATTCCTTATACAGAATGTCGAACCCTCATAATATTAAATTTAATCTTGAATCATTAAATAAATCATGCTCGCCAATCGTTGTGTATACCCTCGTCATTTCTCTGTTACTACTCGATAACGGGCATTGCATCGTTCTTTTTATTTCTTGACAAACACTTACCCTTCGTTCGCGACTTTTTATACCCCCAATCGGAATCACTGACACCATAATGGTTGAAACTGAATAAGAAGACAATTCCCGTGTACCAGAATACGGAAATTTGTTTTTGGCGGCGATAGAAATAATGTGCTTTGAACCAACTTATTTCTTTTCCAGGGGCTATACTTATTTCACCCGACGTAGGATTCACCAAGAACAGGGATTGGTCGTTTCCAGATTCTATAAAATAATGAATTTTGGAGCATGCGCATTCGTCCTTATCCGGGCATTTCAGCGCGTCCAAATCCCTCGCCATGGCAACGGCAACCACTTTGCTATGTGTAGCCACTTCAACCTCGGTATAATCCTGCATAAATATAGGCAGATATGCGTTTTCTGCAAAATAATCAATATATCTTTTAAGAAACAAATATGTGTATGTGTAATCGATATTTGTATTTAATGTTGTCGTATTGATTCACTGTGTCTAAAGCAGGGAAACCGGTTATGTACGACCCCAATTATATTTTTATTTTTAACTTTTTGTTTGTATTTCAGCATTCATAGCCGATTGTTTGAGAACACACACCTAAAGGAAACCACTTAATAACCGCGGTAATGTTTCTGTTCCTAGGAGGAATTCGATCGGAAGTGTTATAATTGTCTGTTGAATGCATAGTTCCATGCTTACCTTTTTGAGGCAAACACGCACAATTATAAATTATCTACCAATATATGTGGTTACACGAGATTTTCTAAATAAGGTCTCACACTAAAATTTTATCTGAATGGCCTCAGTAGATGGATTAAAATCCTCAACCCGACTGTTTGAAATACTATATGCCAGTTCCTAACCCACTGTTCAGTTTGTGCAATTATAATTATGTTTTTTAATGTGAAAAATTAGGTGTTGATTTTTTTCCAAATACTTATTCCTAAATATTAATAAATCATAGAAACTCAAGTTTATGTAAGATAGAATAAATTGGCAAATTTGGTCACCACATTTCACACCAACACACCCTGGCATATACAGACTTTAAATGACACGTTATTTAAAATTTCATAAAAAGCGATTTATGTCTTATCCCACGATTATACACAGTATATATGTCCTATTGAGTAAGACAAACTGAAGCAATCATGAACTCATTCTTTATTTTGTCTGGGTTCTAACGTATTTTTACTATTTCAAATACTAACCTGGCTGATCGCACTGAGGTCCTTTCCAACAGTAAGAGCAGACGCATTCACCAGTTACGTCATCACATTGTCCGTGATGGCATGCTACGGGGGCATTGCTGTTACATGAGATAATGACAACATAGTCAAATATTAAAGACGATGTTTTGAAATGTTCCATTCTACTATTGATGATGCAATAATTGTAAATAACGTAAACGTACCGTGGGTGATACAATAATTGTAAATAACGTAAACAAATGTGTATGAATACAAATACCATACGTAACGTAAACGTACCCAGTATAATGCGATAGATTATGAAACTTATAGTACTGTGTACGATTTCATTTCATTATTTGAAAAACTGACTTACTTTTCACATCCCCTTTCTATACACTTGCAATAGGTTATTCCACTCTCACTGGCATCTATTGAAAACAAACACACGAGAACGCGTTCATTAAAACATCAGCAAACGCATATTCTAACGAACTAGTTTGGTTTTAACAAAAACACAATATAGTCTTGAAATTGAGCAGGGAGTACGCTACGTCCCTTATGAAACGTGTCTTGTGCACGGATACACTATTAAAATTAAAATAAATTATATCTTCTTTTTTTTAGAAAAAGTATATCTGTAATCAATTGCATTATTTATCGCGTGAGCTCACAATATTTGCATAGTATCAAGTCAACACGATTAACGTCAAATTGAGACCTACCATTTCCCTCAAATAAAACGGCAATCAACACTAATAAAATACATTCGTATTTTAGCAACTTCTGTTTTCGCCAAAATGTCATATTTTCTTCACATCATGCTTCTTGTAAAAGAAACGGTCAGCTCACCAATGACGCAGTCTTGGTCGAAAAGTCAGAGAAGTAAAACTTAAAGAGACACTGTGAGAAGTAATACATCTGCTGACCCCTTTTGTCATTATAGTGACGACGGACAAATCGATATATTTAGCATTTTTTTTGCTATCGAATTATAATCACTCGATATATTGTTACGTTGCGCTCTAACTTTGTAAATATGATTACGACTTCTGATTGTGAAATTTAGTTTTAAACACATGTTGTTTATCTACGTCAGTTTGTACAGGTAAGCGTATATCACATGTATATCTGAGTCAAAAACAGACACAATGTTATGTACCATTGTTACCAGGAGTGTTTATTTAGTAAGCCAATTAATCAATAGACGTATTGATATAAAGAACAAATCAATGACTAAACAATGATAAATTTTCTTTGAAGTAACATGTGAATAATAATGCTTCAATAAAACCGCAGATGTATCTTCCTCTCATTTTAATTCTACCACGATAGATAATACGATTTATATTCACTGGTAGTGTTATACCTAACACGGGGATTGACACCTTGCAATCAACGCAAGGTCACTGACGTCTCAGCAATACTGACACATTGTCAACATTTTTATGTGTTTGCCTTATATTTGTTTTTAATGCAAGACGGGTAAACGAACTGATGTCCAATACGTACACATGCCAATGAATTTGCTTACATACTTATTGTCCCCGCATCGATACGTCGAGTGATGTTGAATAGAAATGTTTACATTACCTCGAAAACTGATACTGTATTGATATTTTCACCGCTAGGTCCAATTAATGAAAATGGGTATTGAATTACAAAAATGTATACCTGTTTAATTTATTTATATGATAAAGTGACATGTTTATTAGAATACGAAACAAATACAGGGCAAACACAATACATGTCACAATATGGAATATGGAATATGTGTAAATATCGTAATATTAAATAAATTTAATTCATACGTTATGACTCATCAGAAAGATTGCATTCAAGTTCCACAGGTGTCTTGGCTTGATATAATTGTGTATATTAGTATGTTTATTGAATATTAAATAAATTGTTTTGTGTTTAAATTGCAACATCGTAATGGTACCTTATATCATTTCTAAGTGCCTGTAGTATTAACGCCTGTAATACCAAGTTTTCCATCGACTTCCTCGGTTACGTATATTATCGGATAGAGTATCAAATATTCAATGTATATCGCACGGTAGAACATTTCCTAAATTATATAAAAATAAAATCTTTATTAAAACTCATTTTTAATATTAACAGCAAATTATCTTTATTCTATTTTATTTTATAGTAATCCTACTCGTAAATAGTGTTCTACCTGTCCACTAACCTACGATAACTGGCGGTTTTAGTACAGCATTTACTAGGAAAGTACTCTTTCTTAGTTCGGGACAATCTTTCGTCCATTTACTCATTCTATTCTATCAAATATAGAATATTATCCTCTCTATAAATGATCATTTTGGATTATTTATCAAGAGATTAATTCAACGTTGAACAAAAAATAATGTATTGATTGTAGCATCGTATTAGTCATCACTAAGTAATGCATCATTATGTTATTATTTTTATAGATTTATGTGGCCATCATCACCATGGTAACGTTATGGCACATTGTTATGTTTAATTATTGGGTCAATAAGATTTGCATTCGAAGTTGTATAGATGATTATATTTGAGTATACTATATTTGTGTCAGATTTATTTTGGTAAACCTGAGGTCTACAGACAAATGAAATTGATGCCTCATGAGAAAATTTGTAAGAGTGATATCATATTTACCCATCAGCTTAATCTTCTGGTTTCTTCTACCAGATTTGCATATCTATTTTCATAAATCACATCCTAGCTGTTATTACAACGCGTCTACACTCTCCCAAATATCAAGAGTACAATCACCTTTAAGTGAAAGTCAGACACTGGTGATTCGTGAGAAATATTCCATGCTAATAAAACGGAATAATTGAGTTAGAAAATATTCAATTATCGTAAAGTATGGTCAGTGTGCTTTATTTGACTTAAATATTTGAACTTAAACAATGATTTAGGAAAATGCCAAGTACGAAGCTAAAGTAATTAATAAACGACCACTAGACGTCCCTTTTAATTCGCAAAAAAAATACATCTACTATTCACAGTGGTTGTAAGAATTTGTTTACATAGTGTGTGCAGCTGAAACGTCGGATCAATCGCATATTTGCTATACGATTTGTGTCATCCATGGTGCAGTTTCAATATTCAGCTGCCAAAATAAATATATTTTTAAGTTTTATCCAATGCTGAACAATAACACAATCTGGAAAAATTTTTTATTTAAAAATATAATTTCTAAGAATCGTCAAACAGCTATTGCACTGTAACTCTAATATTTGCACATCTGCATATCTGAGGTTGATTGGCAGCTGTCGATTTGCAAGAAACTGATACTGTGTCGATATAGTTTCACCGTCAGTTACTCTTAATGAAAACGTGCATTTGAATTACAATAGTATTTAATTATCTATTCATAATTTATTCTTACTATAACGAATGGAATTTGGAGTTGCGTAATATATTTAAAGTAACATACCTCTGTTATATAACATGTTTTCAAATACTGATTGCGCTGAATGATTTCATTGCCTCGCCCCCAAACAACGAATCTACGGAAGGTTTAAATAACTCTTCATATTCCTATAACTCCAGCCCGCCTGCGATCCATACATTGTAAAAAGATGAAGACGTTGAGACAATGGAATATTCTGTTTATAATACTTGTGCATGGTGTCCAGTCATCAAGTAAGTCAGACATTGTGTTGTAATATACGATAAATTATTTACCTGTACAAATTAATGTCAAAGATAGCACAGTTTTGATACTTGTGGTCCGGTTAAACAATTCGTATTACTAACAAGTACCTCTATCTCATTTTGCCCACTTCTGCTTACTACTAATTTCATAGTTATTTTAAATAACATCTTACTTATGTTATTTTATCAGGGCCATTCATGTTACGAATGGACGCATCATCAAATGCCTTGTACAAAGGCACTCTGCCAACACTAGATGAGTTCACTATATGTTTGTGGATTAATGCCAACTCGACCTATCAGGGACATGCAGGGGCCCCTCTATCGTATGCTACCTGGAACTCCGACAACGAATTACTCTTATACGATATTTATTCATTCAAAATCTTCGTCAAGGGCACCACTATCGAAACAAACGAGTGCATTGCAGTCGACAGATGGATACACGTATGCGTGTTATGGAGAAGTGATACGGGCTACTGGGCGCTTTACACAGATGGTACGAATATATTGGATGGAACAGGGCTTTCTACTAACCTAATTGTAGATTCCGGCGGATCCATATCGATCGGACAGGAACAAGATTCAGTGGGTGGCGGTTTTGATACGAAACAGGCTTTAGTTGCGGATATTGCCCACGTGGGAATCTGGAGTACCACTATGGACCCCGCCGCCATAAGTAATCTAGCAAATGACTGCAGTGGTAAACTACAGGAAGGCGACATATTCAAATGGGTTTTGTTAGATCTGAATTTGTCTGGGACAACTGAAGTGCTAAATTCAGACATATGTGGTAGGAGGTTTCACTCTATTTGGCTGTATTAGGATATTAGCGCGGATATTAGGCTGTACGATTCTATTGGGCTGTACGATTCTATTTGGCTGTACGATTCTATTTGGCTGTACGATTCTATTGGGCTGTACGATTCTATTGGGCTGTACGATTCTATTTGGCTGTACGATTCTATTTGGCTGTACGATTCTATTAGGCTGGACGATTCTATTAGGCTGTACGATTCTATTGGGCTGTACGATTCTATTTGGCTGTACGATTCTATTGGGCTGTACGATTCTATTTGGCTGTACGATTCTATTGGGCTGTACGATGCGTTTCACTGTGTGTATTAAATGATGCTGTATATACTCATGATATACTGATTTACTGATATAAATGATATACTCATTTAAAATTCTTTTCTTTTTATATATTGTTTCTACAATAGCTTCAGGTGAGTTATTTTAAAACTATTTTATCATTTTTTATAGAAATTGTAGCACTAAAACGTGTATAACGCCATACGCGTCATATATGAAATTTGACTTGTTAATTAACTTGACGCTAAAGACAATATGTCAATTCCAGCGCGGATTAATCTAACGAAACTATTTGTTTATCATTCTTTCCAGCTTATTCTTCTTCGATCGAAATCATCACACCAACTGACTACTATGAGAATGGTGAAACCGTGACCTTTAATATAAACATAACAATTGACAGAATACAAAATATTAGTAACTTATTCATGGTAAATTCAACGATAAAGTGTTTAACGGACCTGGTAATTATATATAATGGAACATAGCAAACACGAACATAATGACATTTGTATGTTTGTTTTAAATTGTTATATACTAATGTCATCAATCAAATATGTATATAGTATCTCTCGTCGACACATTTAATACACAATACTCTCTCAAAAAAATGGGCAGATTTATATTTACTACTAATTTCGAGATAAAATTGTCAAAATAACTTTCAGTTAATAATTAATTACTTACGTTCATTGGGACATGTTTTACATGGATATCTAACTAACTTTAACATGGGAATATCGCGCTTGCATTAATTTAACGTGGCCATCGCTAGCTATGAAATTAAGTACTAAGTAAACCCAACTTCGGTGATATGACTACGAATATTCTAAAATTGGGGAGGTCGTGACAACGACAAAACTCCATTTGGCTTCTCGAATTGCCATACACCTGTTTCTGGCGGCCTGTGAACCAAGGGTAAATTATTTATATTTATTTGTACAATTACTTTACAACACAGTGCAATTAATTACAAAAGTAAAGCAAAATACAAGGACAAATCTAACTTGAGAATATAATGGCGTAGACCTGTGGCAGCCATAAGCACCTTAGTCAGCTTAGTAATCCCATCTAGTTTGTGTTAATACTCAATTCTTACTGGTTTCTACCAACAAATGAAAAAATGTTCAAACTACAGAAATCAATATGTTCATAACTTTTAGTTTTACAATAACTACACGGCTCCACTCTAAATTGATTATTAGTATCGAGTATATATTCTATTCTATATCCGCACGCAACTGAGTTGCAGTACTAGTGTAAAAATCACACATACATTTATACAGGCTCCTAATAATTGATTGACGGCTGATATGTTTATTTCATTATTTGATTATCTGTTTCAGTCAGGTTTGTTGTCGATTGATATACACTCATTAAATATCAGTGCGTGTTGTGAAGAAGTGATGAGAAGAGTTTCTATAGCAACGTCGAAAATAAACAACACAGTAGTAAAATAAAAAAAATATTATTCGATTATATAAGTAACATCACTAATTATTCCAAGGCCTTAAATATATTTATATTGTATTGATTATTATTATTTGATTGGATTCTTTACAGGAGATACAATATTGTGACGACAACTCTCTAATAATTTAACAGATACTAGTTCCCTGATTGATACTGATTTATTTCTGTTGAATGGTGAATTTCAAACTATACTCCCCGGTAAGTAAGACTGTTGCTACAAACTTTCGATATAGTCTGGGAATATGTGCAGTAATCACGTCAACTAGTGCCTGAAGAGTATGTATTTATACTAATATATTACCTCACACGACTCGCCTCTGTCTCAGTTACCCGAAATATTCTTATTTTCTTTGGAAATCTGAAACGGAGAAGGAGTAGTAACTACACACAACGCAACAGTATATACGTAATTGCTTTCTTTAAAATCAATGTCATGTATTTATGGCCATATCCGAATATATAATCGCCATTATAGGTAACTGGCAAGTTAGTTTGTATTATGTTTAACTTATAGATTATCTATATCCAAACTCCGAGATTGTCTGTATCACAAATGCAACGATTTTAACAAGAGAACAGTTTTCCTACACAATGCATGACAGCATATCGATTGTCACTGTTAGTCCAACAATACAATTCGTAAACGAACGATCGGACATTATTAAGGGAAATTTAACTGACAGTGTCATAATAAAGATAGATTTTCCGAAAGGAAGATTTAATATCGCCATCACCGTCATTTTGTCGAATGATGGACCGGGAGAGATTACCGTCGAGAGTACTGCACTGTTAACAGCTGGGCAGAATATGCATTATGTCACGACAAATGACAGTGTATATACATTGTCTGCGAATGCATGGAACGACATAATTACAATTTCGACAAGACACGTGGAAGGTTCTAGCACAACACACATTTGGACTGTAGTTAACGCTACTTATCCATTGTATATTACCAATGGCAATGTCGACGATGTAGAGAATTCGCTGACTATTGCGTTACATGTATTGCTTTGTGGTAACGACGTCTGGAAGTGATGTACCTGTCGTGGCTGTGGCCGTGCTTGATGTTGGTGGACCTTATGTGTGGCAGGCATTCACAGAGTTGTTAATCGATGATACAGACACAATTGATTTTGCAGTAAATGCTCCGCAGTTTCACTATTACGATGAGTAGGATTTTTTTTTACATATTTTAATAAAATATATTTAGTTATGCCTACCTTTATTGCTTGTGGTAATTAAATATTTCAACTTTAATGTATGAACTGAATGATGTCTTTTTACAATTTCCGTAAACTAAGATTAATCTTTCTCAATGGTTTATTATTACAGTATTTCTAAAGCGAATGTTACTTTGGATATTTGGTTTGATAATAGTGTTAGTAAACAAATATTTGAAGTCAATATCACATTAATAGTCACGCCTTTCGTCCATTTCCTGGATTTTGAATCATGGGTAGGACTCCCTGACAGACCAATAGAAGTACAAGATAAGTCAAGGTGGAAATTACTGGTGAGATTATTGATGTTTTAACCCATTGACCCGGCTGTTCTATAACAAGCGAGACATGTGATACTCTTAGTTAGATATCATGTAGTCAAATTATAAAATACCAGACTATTTCCGATCTTTGTTACGTGACGCGTTATCCACAAAAATATGTTTTCTCCTCTTGCGATGAGAGGAATCCAGATTAACTATTTCGGTTTTTGTTTAGGTCAATACAATGTAGCACTGCTGGAGATACACTGGTGTCTATGATACGACACACATGTGATATTTTGTATGCTGTCAACTAATACAGCTAACGAGACGATGTAAGGGGATACTCTGCTGCTGTTGACTTCATAAAAATAGTTCTTGCTCGACAAATGTTTTGGAGGACTAGAGACATTCCATCAAACACAAAAGAAAGTCGTATGTTATTAAAAAAATGTTGCAAATGTTCGAACTAGATGATCAATACATACAACAACAATTAACTGCAGCTCTCATTCCGTCATTACAGATTAACAAACTCACAACACTTTCCAACATTTCTATAACAATATCAACTGCGATTGACAATGGCGTACTAAATCCAGACGTAGATGGCGTGTATATGATTGGAACTGTGGAACTGCATTACAGACTACTCAATAGTACATGCGATATACCAACGATCTCGAATATGAAAGCCATTCAAATGAATTACAACATTTTGTCAGGTAATTAACGCAGTCGTTGTTGATATTGTCTTATTTACAACATTAGGGCTTCAATAAAATACACCATTATCAGTTTTCATGAAACTATATTTCTAGAATGCTGTGGAAGTTTCTAAAGTGGTGAAAATGCTTGATATAAACTATGATGTAACATAATAATATATCTTTAATAATCAACTGCTATATAAAAATAAAATAAGTAAATTGTTAGCTTATGTGATATATAGTAGATAACTGGCACTTCCATGTGCGAAATAAAGTGAAAATCTTGCCTCACCCATACAAATCTTACATTTTAGTATTTTTTTGTAGCTGAGTATGTGGAAGATAATCTAGAATCAGGTAAACTTTTATTGGATATTGTATTATATAATATGTTTCTATGTATCTAGGTTTAAACATGATGTATTGATTTGTGAAACCTGGCAGGGCATGAATGCATTTCCGAGTTGTAAACATAATTATAGTGCTGACTTTTGATTGTGCACGTGTTGTTAGACAACCGACGCTGTGCCGATGACAGTGTTCGAGACATCCTATCATCAGGGACGTGCCGATTGATTAGTGTTAACATTGGTATTTTGCTTAAATAATACTTATTTGACTAATGATAAGAGCATAAGTGGAAACACGAAAATGGTACAGTTGATTACATACGTTATTCTGTTAACTAAAATTAATTGATATATTTCGCTCAACCAATGTGAAATGTGTGTAACACATACATTTGGTTATGGAATAATAATATTATATGTATGTTGTGTTTTCGTTCCAGTGGGATGCAATGACTCAACGTTATCGATATCAGAAATGAAATACATATGTGTCAGCAGAAAATCCAGGTAATGAAATACACTGCACTGCGGTGACAATTATGTGAGTATATCAAATGTGACTTAACCATTTGCATCAGTTTGACATATTTTGTTTTTTGCAGGCGTTATTGCCTATTGAATAAAGAAGACGATTCTGTGTACTGGTCAGGTAAACAATTATAAATTAGTTACCAATTGTATCATAGTATTTAGCATGTAAAAATCGTCGTTCTGACTAATTGGAATCATAACCCAATATAATCTATCAAATAACCAATGTCATTGCTATTAGGTTACAGATTTTGAGAAACAAATATTTATGGTAAATCAGTATCTTTCGAACATCGGTTTGTATTCTAAAACACGCAGAAAAAGTGTTGGCGACTTAATAAATAAGGAGAACGTAAAAAACATCAATTTACTACGTTGTCTTTCAGCAATATATAGATTACGATATAATTTCAAATAAATGTCGACAAAGTTAAAAAACAAACATGATTTCGACTACGATAAGGTTAGCATTTACGTTGTCACCAGGTGTATATACAATATCCTTGGAGCAAAACCAGATTTGAAATGCGTATCTGCAGGTTTTTACAGATAAATATTCAAGATTAGTAGTAGTATCCACTCGAATTTGTACACCAGGCCTTCTTATGCAAATCCGACAATACGTCTGTTCATGTTTCCTCACGTACATCTCGGTATATAATTCCGGAAGATTGTTCGTTACATTTGCAGTACAATATCAAATAATGTGTCATAGTCATTGAGATATCTAATTATATATCATCTCTCTGTAGTGATAAGCAGACAACCTCTTTATATTACCTCAATATTTGCTGGAGCATTATTAGGCAGTGGATGCGATCGCGAAATAAATGTGATAAGCGAAGACAGAGGGCGCACGTGGCATGCTGTACCTGATCTAATTTCCTATGTAAACCACACAACTGACAATCAAGGTATGAATATTTGTATGTATTATTGTTATGGTTTTATTCCAGACATAGTTCATATATAAACCGTCACAATCACAATGTATGACAATATTCACATTACTTTTTTAGTTACGTACGAGAATACGACGACGAGCACAACGATTGCACAACCTACAGTAAATTCGCTTGCTTGCAGTGTAAGTGCCCTCACATTACCAGCCAGATTCGGGCTTGAAATGATTGACATGTCTAATATGTTTCAACCAATCAGAAGACAGGCTAATTAACATATCAACTGAGACTGTGAAAACCATACACACTTTCTTTGATAAACTTAGATCCCGAAAACTTGCGTTCTCGGAAAAAAAACGATGGTTACTCAATTTTTTTGGCGTCAACAACATGGTAACATAGCGCGAGACAAGTAAACACACAGGCACGCGCGATGTACGGTTTATTGTTATGATCCGTGGCTCGGCTGCTCCATCCACTGTATGACGTATATACAAATTTACAAGCCCGAATCTGGTCGGTAATGTGAGGGCGCTTACACTGATGGCAAGTCTGTTGGGATTTCGCGGTCACATGACTTTCGCGTTCACCCCTTTACGCAATTTATATTCATTTTTCAAGAATTTTTCATCGGAATCGCAACAGACTGCAAGCAAGTCTAGAGTAACGTCAATAAAAGATGGGAACAATTGCTTACGAAATATTTTAGACGAATGAATTGATTTTAGTTTATCAAAATGTGTTGTTCAGTGTTCATTATTGTAATATACGCAATATTCTGTGTTTACGTTTTAGTATCTGTTGTTGAGGTTGTATCATGATCCGATGCCTGGAGAACAGTTGTCTGTCAACCATCACACTTAAACAACCAACTTGGTGTCTACGTTACTTTCGAAATTTTTGAGAGCAGCGGATGCGTTTGTGTGACTACAACATACCCAGGACACAGTTCTAAATTTAAGCACTCTCCCAGAAGTTGACATGCTGTCACTATGACAACCAGCAATTTCGTATATAAATCATCACAAAGTGTTTTCGAATTGAATCGAATGCTATAAAATTTGTCACTAATTATAACATTATGTGTTGATATTTTTAGAATGATAGTA